TTCCCGAGATAACCTTGTCGATTGCGGTAGCTGTAGGTGACTGTCTGATTGAAGACTGTTGCCTGCTCTGTATTTGTTGTCTTTCCACCTTCAAGGCTAAAGTTTGAACATCCTCTAGCGACCAATATGACTGTAACTGCATAACATTGCTAATAGTGGGCTTCAAGCCCCCATGACACCGTGCTATGGTGTGTACCTTTGGTTTGACCAACTCACACTTCATTTGCTATTGGTCGAACTATATTGTTAACTCCATTGAAATGTCTCTCTGCTGCAGGTGATAGAGTCTCAGAAACATGTTCCGACAGTAATGAGATGGAAGATATTTTCTCTTCTTGCTTTCTTTATCTTTTACCACTTGGTAATCTTATCATTGCCTTCTTCTTTTCTTCAAGTTGATGGCAGTTAATTTTACCCATTTATCCTCTGGTACTTTCTCATATTTGAAGATTCGCTCAATCGATTGCAATGAGTCGATAAAATTATTACCTCTTTCGAAATCTGATAGATCCACTTTAATGCCAAAGTCTCTGTGTCCTCCATATGTGGGCTCCTCTCTCGACCTCCTTTGATACCAAATTATAAAGCGACGTGGTTGGTATTCCTCGTAAATGATGTCTTTGTATTCAAATCCTCATTCCTATCTCTCTTTGGACTCTCTAGATTGTGTTAAAGGGTAATCTTTCCCTGGGTTCCATCATCAATATTTATGAGTCTTTGTTGAAGCAATGAATCTCCCTTTGTATCTCGTCCCAGGTAGGTTCCTACATATATCTCCGAGGTGCAAAATTAGGTTTTGAGTTTGAAAGGGCTGGTTGAGGGTAGAAAAGAAAAATTTTTGGAGTGATAAGGCGAATGCTAGGAAACCCTAAGATAAGACCAAGGCTAGGCTAGCTCTGATACCAAATGACACCGATATTTAATTCAATCCACAAAATAGAGACAATATTATTACTCAGAATAAATTAGATTACAACCAGGAATCAAAAGAAACTAGGAAAAAAACACAATAACATCAATATCCGGCTTAGGCCGGGAAGGAAGATCTGGGGATGACGGTGGCGTTGGTGCGATGGTTAGGGGTTGAAGTGGAAGGGGTTAAGGAATATGTGGGTGGAAGTAGGAGGCTGTAGTGTGACCGATGGCTAGGAGCAGGGAGCAGGGAGCAGGGAGCAGGGAGCAGGGTGAGTTGGTGACCGACAGATCTGGAGGCGTGGGAGAGGGTGGTCGTTGACTAGGAGTAGGGAAACGGGGGAGTTGGTGACGGGCAACGAGATTTGAAGGGGTAGGAGAGGGTGGTCGGTGGCTAGGCGTAGGGAAGAGGTGGTGTGGATGACTGACAACTGGATCAGGAGGCGTAGGAGAGGGTGTTTGTTGACAACTAGGAGCATGGAAGAGGGAAGCGTGGAGGGAATCGGAGGGATAATCATCACCTCAAAGTAGGATATAGTCAGAGAACCACCTGTCTTCGGATACAACCCAAGGGAAGAAGCATATAAGCAGAAATCTGAAACAACCCAGGAATAAGCCTAACTCAGCTAACAAAGAAATTTTTAATAGATAGGTAGGAAGGAAGGGGGAAAAGGGGCGGTAATTCTCGTCCAAGATTAACCGACTGGTCCAACCTCCCACCCAGTAGTGCGGTTCAACCCATACTCATGCCCCGCGTGAGTTACACACATATTAACATTTTATAGTTTACTAAACTTACATGAAAAAGATATGGCTTTGGAAGAAGGTTTTTTGATTTTTCAGCCATTTTGTTTTGATATTAATTTATCTGTGTGATTTTCAACCAACCTCTTTTAATGGTATCTATATTTGGATAGCACTAATTGTTTTATTATCTCGGGAAAGAGAAAAAGTGATTTAACTCTTTTGGAAAATAAATGTACTTCAGTTAAAGGTAACTGCCAAAATATATGTTGTACGATCAGATAAAGGGATTATATGCCGCTTCAAAAATTTTTGCATGAAGATAAGAAAAAAATAGTAATGCGAGTTGTGGGAGAAATATTTCTTCTGCATGGCTTTCTTCATATTCTCCCATTATGTAGCTCGTTCGAGGTGGTGACCATCTTCAAGAGTCTAGGTGGTGCTCCGACTGTATCTCAACCCCTCTGAGATATTTATCCATCCGTAATCCCCTCCAACCGGCGTCCGCCCCTCTTTCCCCGATTCCCTGTCACCCACCCAAGGACCCTTCCTGCTATTACCGTAATTCCCAACCTGCACCCCCCCATTGCCTTTCTTGTTCTTTGCCGCCGGCCTCTTACACTTATCCCTCTCGTAACCTACAACCAACCTCCACCTTGCCTGCTCCTTCCCCACCCGTAACTGCCAACAAATTCTCCATAGTCCTTCTAACCCTCCCATAATTGCTACAAACTTCCCTAACCTGGTAGCCAACCCCACAAATTCTTGCACGTATTTTCCAGGTGCTTCCAGAACTCCCTTCCAACTTCCTTTCCCTCACAACCATCTCCACTATGACCCCTACCTGTTGTCAAGCCGCCAACCACCACCCTTGTCATTGCTCAAGTGTGTCTTTTTAGGTTTATTATCTTTTATTTCCTTTTTTGAAGAGTCATTGTTGTAACCGATTTCAATTTCATTGCCTTGAGGTGCCTAGTGGAGTTTTTTATCGCTAGCCAGCTATAAGATTAGGTGTGGTGCGATGTGATCCCCATGGATGCCTGCCACCTTTTGATGGGAAGATCGTGGCAGTTTGACCAGAGGATTCAACACAACAGATTCAGAAAAAAACATATTTCTTTTCCAAGGATGGAAGCACATCATCCTACTTCTTTTAGCGGAGCCCGAGGCCACAAGAGCCCTTACAAGCAGAGCAATATTGATCAGACCGATTTTGGTGGCTACAAAGGGATAATAGGATTGATACACCAGCTCCAAACACGAGACATGCACGACAGAGTTTATTTTAGGATGTCATAGTCGACACCTTACCTCCGACGCCACCACCATGCGGTAAGGTTCTGGTTTACCTCCACTTCATATCTAGTTTACCCGACCGTTGATTACTTTGGGAGCATTCAGTAGCAAAGGCGGGACACACAGACTTAGTTCAATTCAGTCGTAGACTCTCAGAAGATTGGACTGATGTGGATGTTTACTCGTAAGTTGGGGAATACTCTCAGATGCCTTGGGAGATAATGCAATCGCTAGTGGGATCCTGGTGCAGCCAGGACCACAGACGAAGTATCAAAAGCTTCAATAGATGAAGTCGAAGCTCCCTCAACCCTGGGAGTTGACGTGGGAGTTTGGCTCGCTGAACCGACCAACCAGTTCGACATAGGGCTCGGTCCAGCAGGAGGCGGGATGCTCGTCACTCCAAGAAGCAGGAATTACTACCCGTAGCCCTCTCTTCCTTCTCAGCCTGAAACCAGCCCTTGCCCCTTCCTTTTGTGGTTGCCACCCAAAGGGGAGGGTCTCCCCTTCCTGTTTTAGCTCCTATCTATTATATATATATGAGTGGTTTTTTTGCTTAGGGTTTAGACTATTGTTTTGAGAATTCTGTCGAGCTTGCTACTGGCAGCTGCTCTGCCTTCTAGGGCTGTATACGATGGTGAGGAGGTGCTTTAGTTGTAAATTGTCTAAGATGACGACCATCTCTAAGGGTCCGGATGGTGCTCTAGCTATAGCTTAACCCCGCAGAGATATTTATCCTTTCGTAATGCCCTCCACCCGCTGGCTGCCCTCCAAACGACATCCCTTGCTCTTCCCTGATTCCCTGCGGTTCACCTAGGGACCGGATGGTGACCGTCTCTAAGGGTCCCTGTAACTTGTCTAAGATGGTGACCGTCTCTAAGGGCCCGGATGGTGCTCTAGCTGTAGCTTAACCCCGCAGAGATATTTATCCTTTCGTAATGCCCTCCAACCGCTCGCTATCCCCCAACCGGCATCCCTTGCTCTTCCTTGATTCCCTGCCGCCCACCTAGGGACCATTCCTGCTATTACCATAATTCCCAGCTTGCAACTCCCTTGCCTTCCCTGTTCTCTGCTGCCAGCCCCTGCCACTTCTCCCTGCCGTAACCTACAACCTACCTCCACCTAGCCTGCTCATTCGCTTCTGTAACTGCCAACAGGTTCCACCATACTGCCTTCCTACCCTCCCAGAGTTGCCACCCACTTCCCCAACCTAGCAGCCAACCTCCACAGCTTTTTGCACCTATTTTCCGGGTGCTGCCAGATCTCCCTTCCAACTTTCTTGCCCTCACAACCACCTCCACTCCGACCCCTACTCGCTATCCAACTGCCAGCCACCACCCTCGTCATCGCTCGAGAGTGTCGTTTTAAGTTTATATCTTTTATTTCCTATTTTGAAGATTAATCCTCACAACCAATTTCAATTTCAGCAATAATATTTCTATTTTTATTGTGGTTTGAGTTAACTCCGGTATCATTTGACCTTCTAATTAGAGATAGGCTTTTGTGACTTGCAAATGTGGGAGAGAGAGAGAGGGAGACATGGAAGAGAGGAGTAAGATGGAATCTAGATTCAAATTTTCATTTATTATTGAATGATTATTTACCATACTATTTATTTTTATTTAGAGAAATAGGGGTACATGAATATTCAAACTCAATCAAATTTTGATCTAAATAAATCATGAAATAGAGAGAAGCTAGTTAGTTGGAATTATCTCAAAGAAACGGATAGTTCTAAATTTAACATTGAAATAATTAAAAAATGCTTAAATAAGTCAGAACAAAAATCTTAATGCAAGTATTGTACTTCATCAGTAACATTATAGGATTTACCACATTTGACATTAAGAGGCCATCCGGAACGCTCTTCTTTCATGAAACATTTTCAAATAGATGGATTCTTTTTTACTATGGAAGAACTTTCAGACCACTCTCCTTTATATATCTGTCATATATTGGCACTAAGAGATGACTTCTCTTTCTAGTTTGTACTATGTCCCAAACCTAGTAGAAGACATGTTCTCCAGTGCATTAATGAAATTTTCATATAGGTTTTGCTAGAAAACAATGTAAAAAAGGAGGAGCTAAAGGCTCGAGCAGTTGCTCTGAAAGTTCTTGGAAAGCTTTTTAAGGTACGGATGATTTCATCTGCTATTTAATTATTATAATTTATCAAACATTATTTTGGATCAGTTTAAGCATGCTGAAGTTGTACTTCATGTACTTGAGAACTTCATACTATTATGCATGAAGTGAATGGTATGCTGATGCATTTTTCTTGCATATTCAAGGGAAAGCTTAAATTAATGGCCGAGGAACATTGGTAGCATGCTTTTTATATATTTATTTTTCAAAAATTTAAGACGTGTGTGCATCTGAATACATTGGCACAGTGGCTTAATGCGTTAGAGTAATATTTTTTATATGGTGCAATTTTAAATTGTCTATGCTATATTTCAGTGTACCAAACATAGCCGTCAAGCTGTGATGGACATTTTATTTGTTTGGTCATTTGCTTCCCGATAAAAGCAGTTGGTTATTTAAATGTTCAAATGTACTTTTTCATCCTAGTTTTAATGTCGAGGTTTCTAAAATAAAACATCAACTACATCTGCTTCTTTTTTGTTGTTGTGCAGTATTTTTTTATATTATGCATGAACTGTTTTCTACCGATCCTCTGGTTGGTAATTTCTTTCAGCCCTTAAATTACAACTCTTCTTTAATCCAAGCTTTTTGTTTCTGATGTCACCTACGGTCTTCACAAATACACCAGTTGGTTCCTAATGTTTTATTTATAGACTTCAGTAGAGGATGAAACAGCAGCCTGCTTGACTCAATTATGGTCATTCTTGAGCCTCTTCCAGCTTAAGCTTGAGCTTGTCTCAATTTATTTAGCTTTAACATCCTCTTACTTGAGCTTACATGACCTTGATTTTGATTGATTTAGTTGAGCTTGAACATAAACTGCCTCTCTGGCTTGTCTTTGTGCTTGTTTCGATTAATTGAGCTCGTCAAGCTCAATTCAATAAGTTTGAGCCTGCTCACTAGTTAAATCGTCATTTTGTCAAAGAGAGAAAACTAAGATAAATCCAAGGCAATGCAAATGATAGATCCATGGAAAGAAAGAAAGATAAATTAAAGGAAAAAAATTATAAATTAGGGTAGAGAGGGAAGAACTTAGATTTATAATATATATTTTTTTATTGTCTTTATTATTAAAGCCTTCAATTTATAAACTTATACGCGGTTCTAGTCCAACCTTGTTCTCTGAAGTTCCCTAGAAATTATCTTTATAAATCCTTTGCATAAATATCATAGGCAATTTGAGGGCAATTTAAATTGCCACCAGTGTACTTGAGACCCCAAATTTGAGCCAATGATATAACCTCCTTGCAAATACATTGATAAAATTCTGTACATTCTTTCATTAAGCCCTGCGTTAACAGGGGCTCCATGTAGCGGACGCCGTTATTTTTCAAGTATTCTAGAGGCTCCATACTAAGATTGAAGAAGGTATATTTGGAACCTCTAGGCTTTAAGAGGTGCCATTTGTGCTTTCTCTAGGCTGCTGTTATGTAAGATGTGCCATTCTTGCAGTCCCCTTTTACCCCCTCTTTTAGAAAGAATTTCCTTAAAGCTTTAATCACAAAACTACACGAACAAATGCCTGTTATATCAGGTTGGAGAGGGAATAAACCCTATTCAAGTTGAAGTTGAGTCAGCCCTAATTGCTATTCTTTTTCTTTTGTTTTAAGAGTTAATTTTTAAAGTAAGGGGCAATACCACCCACCGCACGCCCAATGATATTATCACTAATATACCTATAGGTCAAAAAAACCTTGCAGATAAGAAAATTATATTGACTATAAGAGAAAATGCTGAGAGAGAATTATGAAATACCAAAATGGAAATATTAATATGGGGAAATGGGAATTGACATAGATGTGTATCCATACATGAGATTGAATAAAGAAAGCCATAAAAGAAACTGATAATAGGCAATTCATTCTCAAGTGCTTTACGATATACTTGTGAGACAGCTCTTCTCCAATTTCAGTCTATTATAAGCAAAATAGCAGTAAAGCTTTGCAGCCAAATAAAAAATGAAACATAAAAACCATTAAAATTTTAGTGCGAGCAAAGCAATAGTATGTAATCATAATTAAATCCATTCCAACCAACTTTTTTGTGAGCATGGCTTGGCAAAGACAAGAAATTTCTTGCCCAAATAGGTCCAGCGAGACCATCGCGGATGCGCTGGGAATCAAGCGCGGATGCTTTGCAATGCTGACACGGGTGCGCTGTCTGAGAATTGGCTATGCGCGGGAGCGATGTAGTGAGAGCGGGTGGTCTACTTGGGCGCGGGTGCACCCTGTTTTTGGCACAGACGCAATTTGTTAACGTGGGTGTGCCATAAAGTAGCGCAGGTGCGCTAGTCCGAAAAATCTCTGTTTGTGATGATTTCTGTCCTTTTTCCCGCCAAAACAATGTCCAACCTGTCTCTTGTACAATTTAGACAAAAAAATTTTTCTCAAGCATAATATCAGCTTAAAAAGGTGTTGAAACATGGGAAAATATGCTAGAAAAATATTACATATTTAGCTTATATCATACCACTTTCCACTTCTACTCCTGCTCAATGAAAGAGAACTCTACTAGTTGGACTACTGGAGGCGTTGTGTCCAAACCCATGAAATTTGTAACACTTCCTCGCGACCATTATACTAGGTGTATTGTTCCTCTCGGGCTTCTTCCCACTACGATTTGCTCTATCATCTTTTTGACAGTTCTTGCTCCTTCATCGAGTGTACTCCTATTGGATCCTACTGTGGGTGAATGTCTGAATGAAGGCTGGGTCCTGATTTACTTGTGCTGTTTCTCCACCTTCACGGCCAATATCTGAATATCACTCAATGACCATAAATGCTGCAACTGAACGACATGGCTTATGGTTTCCTTCAATCATCCCAAATACCTGTCTACGACGTGCTCTTCTGGCTCAATCTGCTCACATTTCAGCATGAGTTGTTCAAACACTGCTGTGAACTCTTCCACTAACAACTCTCTCTGTTGTAGGTGGAGTTTTAAGAACATATCCCGACGGTAGTGTGGGGGTAAGCACTTTCTCTGCATCTCTTTCTTCATCTTCTCCCATGTAATGATCTTGCTCCTACCTTTTCTCTTCCTCACTCTCTTCAGATTCTCCCATCCCAAAGAGATACTCTTCTTCAGCTTTAAAACAGCAAACTTCAGCCGCCTATCAGCTGGTATCACCTTATACTAAAAAATCTGCAAAAAAAAGTCTACAACCACTCCATGAAGACATCTGGATTCATCCTCCCCTCAAAATAAGGTAAGCTTACCTTCACCGTCATGTCTCTATGTCCTCAAAAAGTCACTCTATTCCTCAACCTCATTTGATACCGAATCCCAAAACACCGTGACCTATCCTCTTCAATTGAATCATTCTTATGGGAGAGATTCAGATTTTCGTCCCTCTCATCTTCGAATCTCACAATCATGATCAACGGTGATCTGTCAATGAGTCACTTTCTCCATTCAACAAGTCTTTGCTGCAGTCGACGGATTTCCCACAGCATCTTTTCCATGATAAATTCTTGGTCAGCTTCCGACACTTGTCTCCTCAGTGATATGGCTAGCTTTTAGGTTTGGGAAGTGAAAAAGGGTGTATGGGTTTGAGTTAGGGTGCAAAAAATATATTTAGGGTTGCTGATTGGAATCAGCAAGGGGGGAATTAGGGTTAGGTCAAGAATTAGCTATAGTTTGTTGGGTTTAGGTCACCATAGGATGAAACTGGGATTGAGTTAGCTCTAGTACTAAATGATATCGGAATTTAACACTCAAGGGAAACAAATTTTATTGCTGAATTCATAGTCTGAAATTACAACAAACAATAGAGAAATCTAAAATTGCAAAAAAAAAAAAAAAACACAAAACTAGAATTAAGGTTGGATCTATAGTCTAAGTGGTGTTATTTGGGGTTTGGACCTCCAGGATGGTGGCAAGGAGGATGCTAACAAGCTGGAAACAGCAACAACAATTTCCCAGAGTCAGGACAGCAAGAAAGCAGCAGAAACAACTACATGAGGGTTGTTTTTGGGTGGCGGTAGCAAGGAGGAAGGGGAGGGAATGTGGAAGCAATTTGAGAAAGGATGAGGGAAAGATATAGGAAGGATAAACACCAAGTGGAGACCAAGATCCAACCAGAGCACCACTTGGAACCCTACGATACAGCCCATAGAGGGAAAAGGAGATGCCAACGGCTGTCCCAAAGCACTTCACAGCAAAAAAACTAAACCCTAAATGCCAACAAAAGCACATATTTATCCCTAGATAACTAGGGGTGGGCTTGCCCTTATAGAGGTGGAACTCCCCTGCCTAGAGGGTCGGCCACTCCTCCAAAACCATGGCCCAAACCAGTCCAGGTTAAGACGCCCCATGTCAGAATGTGTCTAGGCATAATATTGTTCTGCACATTAGATCACATAACCTGTAGAAATACTTTTTCCTCATTCACACAATGTCAATGCAATTAGAATCAGAGTCATGGTATAACCTAGATAGATATATTTGACTTTGTATTTTCCACCCAAGATTATATATATTTTTCTTTTATTTTAACCTCATGTAACATTGCGAATATAATTCTCATTGCGGTAGCAATAACCGTATGAGCAACTGAATGATTTTGAGCTTGAACTATTACTGTTTCATCCCCAACCTTATCCACATTAGATGCTCGATCTTCATTTCCTTCTAAAAGTTCTGCCATCTTTGTAGGATATGGAAGGGAAAAATATTAGCAACAATAGCAGCCTAAATTTGAGATATCTGGATTTGCAAAGGTAACATATTAGCAACAAGCAGCCTACATTTGAGATATCTGGATTTGAATGTGTTGGCTATTCCTTAAAGTTTAAAGCAACATCTGGCAATGAAATAAGCGTAATAGCACTCATGAAATTTTATAAATATAAACAGTTAAAATGACCCCTAAACTTAGTCGCATGAAACAGAAAGCACAAAATGTTAAGAATTGATGGAAGGGTAGTGTCTAATCTGTAAAACAAAAGTTTTGGCAATTGACTGCTCAACATAGATCAGTTCTAAAAAAATTGTCCTTGATAATGTATGTATTGCACGGCAAAATTTTTCATAATATGAAGAGAGATAATCTTTAAGAGGTTCTTTAGTAAAGTTTGATTTTTATTAGATATTACATAATTTCTCTTCATTCGATTCATGAATAATCAGCTGCATGAGCAACTTGTAGGATTAAAGTGCAACAATTCCTTAATCATCATACGGAAAGTGACTCAACTAAAAAAAAAAAAGGAAATCTCATACGCTTACATAGGCCTAAAAGGTGATGGAATATGAAATCAATATCTCTAAAAGTAGAGAAACCCTCATATACTTGCGGAAGAAGGGGGAGGTAGAAGGTTGTCCACCCTATAGCTTTCGAGATGCTGTTTAGGGCATCAAAAGGTCCAGCTAAGGAGGAGACGAGGGAGAAGGCAGCATCGCCATAGTTGCTGGGATGGAGGCTAGCATGCAGAGCTTGTGAGAGACTCTTCGACATGAGACGTGTGTGCTGTAAGACCTTTGTGTGGGGAGCTCATGCAGGAGGCCTTGACCTCACTTGTGTAATGAACAATCTTGGCTTTGCTCTTGCTCTGTTTTGCATCTGGTTCGATGAGAATAAAGGCAGATGTGTGGTGATGAAAACCTTAGGTGAGCAAGCTGCGTGAGTTACATTTTCGCTCAAATTTGAAGGGTTTGGAATGCACACAAAATGAAAGTTTTAGTGATTTCAAATACATTAGAAATTTACACTTAATTCATTTTACATCATACCAAACACCAAGGGGCCATTTGGAAACACTTCTTTATTTTATTTTATTTTATTATTATTATTATTTTAACGTTTTGTTTGAAACATAACAGTTTTGACATCAAATTTTTAAAATTCTTACATTTTATTTACAATACACCATTAGCACATCAAGCCAAACAGCATCTTTAGTGTAACTCTATGGGATTTTTTGCATATTAATATATACGTGTATTGATTAAAACTCTCCTAATCACATCTTTCTTTGCAGAGAGAAAAGAATACTTTACCTGTCGGTGACACATACAAAGCAGAAAATGGTTTAGATGATGATGATGATGGTAGCAGCTCCAATGATAGTTCTGATGAGCGACTACCTCGGCCTCTTTCATATAGAACTCCATTTATCACTCAGGCATGCACAAATAACTCATACTTCATAATTTGAAATTATAATGTTGTCTTTTTTTTAACTGATAATTTGTTTCCATCAAAGAATTGGTTTCGTTCTTTTTAGTGAAAGAAAATTTAACATTTCCTCATGCATGCTAATTTCTTTTGGTTTGCTCATTATGTCTATACTTGGGTTGGTGAAATTTCTCCTTAACGGTCAGCTTTTCATAACACCATTGTCAGTGAAGTATTACACGAGCTTTTACCTCATAACTTTTTTGGGTTTATGCATTTATAAATTGATAAGTTCTAAGTTTATATTATCTTCAATAATTTTGCTAGTAGAATTATCAAAGAGAAATAGAAGATTAATGAAGTGTTTTTTTCTTACAATGCTGCAAACTTTAGCATTAGGAGTCATATTAATGTTATGATTTATATTGATAAATTCAAAAAAAATAAATGCATAAGTTTATTCTTTATGTTAGCTAGTACAAGGGCATATTTGAAATTGAAAGCTTATATTACTATATAAGCATCTGAAATACAGTGTGACGTCCCGTTTCAGTTGTCACGACCCAGCCCGGGACTGGAGTTAACCATGACAGGAACAGACGGTCGGATGGTGGAAATCAATTATTAATTATTCTATTGTTATCACAAGGAGTTTAATATTCAAATAATACGTGAAAGCGTCACTAAAGAAACTAATTAAAATTAATAAGTAAAAATTGGTATATTTCTGGTTGTTATTCTCGCCTCTTGTATATATTTGCTTATATTCTATTCATCTTGTTCAAATGTTTAAAGTTAAATATGATATTAAATTAATATAATGAATTATTTAAAGATAACTCAAGAATAATCATACTTCTAAATTACTATAATCCAATTAAAAGAATTTAATATGCATGCAGGTCTATAAGAACTCTTATAATATGCTAATTTTTTATATTTTAATTAGCAATATGATATATGTTTTTGCATGCATCAATGAATTTTTCTAAATGAAAATACTCAATATTTTATAAATGATTACTTTAACTTTACTTTTATTTTATTCTTTATGTACGCATCTGTCTCTATGAAGATCACCGTAAAAAAACCTAACACATCCTTGACCAATATTGACCCGTTGACTCCCATCGGCACAACAGTATGCGATCTACACATCACAATTGTCTAGGGTGGTAAGACCCTTACCTACTCTTGACCGATATTATTCAGTCGGTACAGCGGTTAGTAATATAAACATTATAATTGTCTGGAGATGTAAACTTTGGTCTATTCGCCCCCAACCGATATTATCTCGTCGACACAACAGTTAGTGAACTAATTTTCACAACTGTCTGGGGTGGTAGAAAAATTTTTCATTAGCGGGTACACCGGCGTTCCCTGCCTGTATCATTAGAAGGTGAAATTCTCCTCTGCACATGCACATACAAACATTCATATATAAACTATTTCATTATTTATAAGATACATTATTCTTAAATATCTTTATGCATCTACTAACATGCATTTTTACCCTATTATGCAACTATTCGTTATACATAACTCTCATATCATGCATATTTCTATCTTATGCATATCTCTTACTTATATCATGTAAATCTTTTTCTCTCATACTTATCATACGTATCTGTCCTATCATGTCTATTTTGCAAGCATATCTTTCATGCATGCACATCTTTTCCTATGCTTCATATGCATATCTTTCTTATTTAATAGTATAAATGATCTGATTAAACTCGACCATACATTGAGTCAAACATACAATTTGAGATAAAAAAAATTATTGAAATTTAGAAATGCAATTACTCATCTCGGTTGCCATGCTAAAATCTTAATCTTCGTAACTAGTTGGCATTGAGATAAATTTTTCTTGAACTTAATACCCTATAAAACATAATATTAAAATTTAAGATTCAATTAATGTTCGTAAATCAAATTATTCTTATTAAATTAGCATGAGATTATTTTACCTGAAATTTTCGGAGCCTTCCTACGACGATCTTCTACATGCTTGCCTTGAACTTGCCGCCTCAGGTAGACAACTTGAAATCTTAAACGACTTAGTTCATAAAGTGTTTGAAATTGAAAAAATAAGTGATTTGCTAAACATACCTTAAATAGCCTTCTGAACAAGTAGCCCTTCTCCAAAGCTACCTAATCTTCTCTTTTTCTTAAATTTGGTTACTCCCTCTTAATCTTCCTGAATTTGCGGCGGAATTCCTTTACGGAAACTCACAAGTCACTTCCGATACAATTACAGAGCTTTCAACGGCTACCGGAAACGAATAATGCACGAAAAACGAGACATATCAAATCCGAAGCAATAGGAAGAAAGTGAACGTCTCAAATAGCTCTAAAACTAATTTCACACACACCAAAATTTTCCCTGGAGCCATGAAACAAGGTCTGCGGCATTCGGTTGTGCGCACGGCCTTCTGCAGGCCACGATTCCGCTACAATGCATAATCGCGGAGAAGCTGCGGGAGGAGCAATTGCTGTGCGAGGTGAAGGAAACGGGAGATGGGGAAGAGGTGCGGTGCACTGAGGCTTCACTGTGTGCCGCTCGCCCCTTGCTACAGTGAAGGATCGTGGAATCCTTCACTGCCAAGCAGCTGCAGTCGCGTGAGGGAGAAATCGGGATAGAAAGAAGGGTGTGCAAGTAAAATCGAGCGGAGGAAAGAGGAGTTCAAAGATTCTAAAGCTTTATTTGACGCTTATATTGCAAGGCAAGTGGGTGGGTACAATAATCGAGATTGGGAGTTTAACTTATAACTTTTAATTTTTATATCTTTCAATTCATTCATAATTTATGTATAGTATTATACATCAAATTGCTTGATTAATTCAGTTGAAATATGAAGAATCCGAAATTTGAGGTACATTTTAGATTGCCAAAAAATTTTAACCGATTTCTGAAAATGGATTATTGCAATTTTCCTCTCCTTATAAAATTTCGTCCTCAAAATTTATAAACTCCACATCAACTTTGAATATATACATTATGATGATGAAACAAAGAGTAATTACAAAAAAATATTTCTTGTCAAATGATAATTGAAACATATCAAACTCTGTGCATCAGTATCAGTAGCAACATGCTCATTCATCTCCTGATGGGTTAAAAAATAAACCCTTGGATGAATGTTTTGACTTGGTTGTTTTTTACAAGCCACAATATCAGCTTCTCCTATCCTCTGCTGACCGCTTTTAGATTAAATCCTTCCTGAAAATTCCTCTGAATTGGATTTCTTCCTGGGTGAGCATCTAATGTGGATCTCTGAATTTCTCTTTTGATGTCCAGACTGTCTGCATAAGTAAAACATCTTCAAGCCAAGTAAATATTCACCACTATGCTGCTTTCCACGCTTAACACAGAGTTGTATAGTCTTTTTGCCAGTCTAGCTAACAATTCCACCAATGTTGAATTTTATCTTATTCCTAATGGACTCTCTTTCTTCTGAATGAACTATTGGTGTCATTTCTTCTGAACTCTTCCTCTAATGCAAATCCCTTTGCTGCTAAGTCTGTTGAAAATCAATCACCCCAAACCTAGCCCTCTTCATTAGCACTGAATAGTTTTTAATTCCAAGTGACACTAGTGGCTGCCTGATTGAATCCTTAAATCCCGAAAGAAATCTGTGACTTTTCTCCTCTGCATTATGAATCAACTGGGGTGCATACCTTGACAACAGTAAATTCCACTTTGTATTGCATAACTGATCGATTTTCTTATACGAGCCTAATAAATTTATCCTGCATCTGTCCCCTCTGACTGATAGTGGCTGGTTATACATCCAAACTCTAAAGGTTTTCACGAATTCATCCCACTACACGAAGTGGCTGGTTCTACATCCAAACTTCTCCCGCATCTATCCTTGCCACCACCTCTTAGTTTCTCCCTCAAAGTAAACATGGAAAGGGTAACTCTCCGCTTCGGCGGACATGTCATACCATCCACCATAAACAACCAATTTTCAACTTCCACTGGCCTTTCTGCTCTAGAAAACAAAGGTGGCCCCATATCTTAAAAGAGCTTCAAGTACTTATTTATTGGTGCTCCTCTACTGGTACTAGTTTGAGATTGAGTATTCTTAATCAATTGAGTCACGGTCTTTGTCATATCAGAGAATGCATCAGCATTGACTGTGACATTCTTAGATACAATAAATTCTACATTCTCATCTCTAACAACTTCAGATCATCCATAATTCTGAAAAAACAACCATAAAATTTAATTAGATGCAATTAATTTTTTTTTGTCAATTATTAATTTTCTTAATGCAATTATCCTATTGACTCGTTAATTAAGATTCATGTTATTTAATCTAAACATCTGTTCTGATACCACTTTTGTCACGACCCGACTCGAGGCTTGAAGTTAACCAAGGCTGGAATGAACAGTCAGATGGTGGAGATCCATTCTCAGATATTCTATTTCTATTACAAGCAGTTTAATATTCAAATAATACGTGAAAGAGACACTAAAAAAATCAACTAAATTTAATAAATAAAAATTGGTACCTTTCTGGTTGTTGTTCTCGTTTCCCGTAGACATTTGCTCTTCAAATGTTTAAAACCTAAATATGATATCAAAATAATGAGTCAGCTAAAGATGACCCAAGAGTAATCACACTTCTAAACTACATCAATCCAAAGAAAAGAATTTAATATGCATGCGGGTCTATAAGAACTCTTAAAATATGCTAGTCTTTCATATTTTTAAAAGCAATCTAATATGCTTGCATGCATCAATGACTTTTTCTAAATGAAAATACTCAATCTTCTATGAATATTTATTTTAACTTTGCTTTTATGCTATAATTTACATACACATTTGTCTGTGTGAGGATCGCCGTAAACAGACTTAATACTCCCTTAGATGATATTGCTCTGTTGGTTCCTGTCGGCACAACGGTTGGCGATCTACACATCACAATTTTCTAGGATGGAAAGACCCTTACATATCCTTAATCGATATTATCTTGTCGGCATAGCGGTTAGTAATGT